TAATGAAGTTTGTTTACTCTCTTGTTTTACTTCCTGTCGAGTGATTTATATCAGGATGACATTAAACTCATCATGATTAATATTTCTCCAAAGTGGCAGCACAGTGGGAGTCCACTTGTTATTCTCCACTCCTGGCTGGTTTTTCTATACATTTTCTGACTAGGTTTTTAAGACGTGCTGCTTGTATTTTTAAGGTTTTGTGTCAGTTGTTTTTCACACTTTTCCTGGGCTGTAGTTTCCTTTTGGGGTTTGCTTTCTGCTCTACTTCTCTGTCCTTTTCTCCTTTCTCTCTTTGTCCAGTAAAATAAAAACATGCCTTGTTTGTGGAGGTGCAGCGTCTGTCAATAACTTCATGAAGCTTAGAGTACTTTCTGGATTTGGACCGTTAACTTTGTCCTCCTTTAGGGAGAAAACTACTCTAACAAACTTGCTGCCGTTTGCACTAACATTTCAACGTAGGTGGTCGATGGATGGAGGGTTTTTTTTTTTTTTCAAAAGTTTTTGTGACAATCTACAACAATGTTACCAAAACTTTTGTGAAAGGCTGAAAAAAACAAGAGCTCACTTTTCAACAAAATCGATGAAATTTTGTATTTATTCAGCCATACAGGCCTGTTGTCTTCTTTATCAAATGACCTGGAACAATTCCTTTGTTTGTTTTTCTTATGTCGGAGTACAAAACGGAATCACAGAAACTTTAGTGTATTGTCTCTAAACACTTGTCTTTCAACAATGAAGACTTGTAGTTGCTACGCAACTAAAAGTTGTGTATAAAAACCATCTGATGTGATTATTTCAGAGTGAGAACTCAGTGTAATCGCACATTGTTTATCCTCTTTACGTTCCCTTTTTGATGAAAGAGTGCTACTAAAAAAAGATTGATGGCAACTAGTTTATTTCAAAGCCCTTAACCAAAGTGAGAATTTTAGTGTTTATTTGCACGTCACTAAAAGGTAATGGATAATGTAATCACGTGCTCTAATTATTCTCTCTTGATTAGTTCACCTTCTTAGTAGCCTACTTCGAGTTATATCGACTATCAAGACTCAGATTCAGTGATGATATTGTAAAAGCCAAAGGCAACACTGGTCAAAGTTGCTCTTACATGTAACTAAATATAATGTTAAGTGTTTGACAAACATGGAACAATATTTTCCATTAATTACTCAGGAGCCAACGTCGTCCAGTGATAGAAACACACACACAGTCACACCTGTTTAATTCAGCTCGAGCAACTCTGTTGCCAAATATAATCCCAGTCACTGGGTCCAGTAGATGGACGTCAGCCAAATTGCCCGACAACCTAGCGACCAAGGCTTCTTCCTGTGCCATGAAGCAGAGACTAAAACCCACTTAAACTGTGAGCTGACAGTGAAAGGTGTTTTATGCCACGGACCAGAACTCCTGGGAACATTAAGATGTTGATACACAGCTGCTTTGAAAAAATAAAACAGAGAGCTTTTTTAATGGCTGTTGGCTGAAAGGTGCACAGGAATGAGTTTGGCCAATTCTGCAGAATGGCTGAAGAACACATTAAATGCCAACTGATATAATTTTCCACCAGAATGACACGGTGTTCGTCCCAAGTGTGATATATCACCAACAAGCCTGTTCTCAGGCCAGAGTCCAAAAACACAACAACTCAAGACTCTGAAAAATCACCGACCACAGCTTTAACACCATTACATCTCAGTGGTTTTTATACCTGTGTCATCAGTGTCTTCACAAAGCTTCAGAACTGCCCTTTAGTCATTCTATTGTTTTAAGAGAGGTCGACAAAAACTGCCCAGAGCCGTGGGAGATCTGACCACCACCACTGCAACTTTGGTGGTCTCCCTCAACTCAGCAGTTTTGTTACTTAGTTCCTGGCTGTTAATTATGTGTCACTGTATTCAAATACTTGCTATCTTCTTTACCACCACAAAGTAGTAGTAATACTAGTAGTAGTAGTATTTGCCATGAATCAGTCCACAGTGCCTGTAGGGAACTCTTGTAGGACAGAACTGGACTCTAACTGTCTCTGTGCCTGTGACTTCATCTCCAGGTTCCTTCATGGTGGTCAACGCATCAGGTCGGGCATCAGGACAGAAGGCTCACCTGTACATGCCCACCCTGAAGGAGAACGACACCCACTGCATCGACTTCCTCTACTCTCTGTCCAGTCGTGACGGAGCCAGTCCAGGAAGTCTCAACATCTACATCAAGGTGTGTGTTTTTAGACTCTATGGACCAGAGGGGAGGCTGTGGGTCAGTGGGTAGAGCAGTTCTACAACCAGAAGGTTGGGGGATCGCAGACTCAGTTGTTCAACATGTCATCCCTGCAGTCAGTAGGTAATGACGGTAACTACTTACTGGTGTTTCATATTAGACTATAAGAGACTGCAGGGATTAAAAAAAAAAGGATTTTAGAGAAGAATAAACTGGTGATTAATGTTTTACTTAATGTTAAATGAATGTTCAAAGTCATGACAAGGGTAAAAAAACAATCATCAGTTCGACTAATAATGAATGTGGGCTAAGTGAAACATCATTAGACAAAATGTAGCTGACAGAACTACAAATGGGTTTTATTTATTATGGAAGCAGCAGCAGCAGCAGCAAATGTCCGACAGGTTTACTGAAAACAACACATTTACCTCCGTGTGGTGGAGATTCATCCTGAGCTGATTACTCTCTGTACGGAGCCTTGATACTGCAGTATATATATCAAAATAAAAATGAAATATTTTGTTAAACTAAAAGCCAGCCTCCTTCCTTGGTGTTCTTCAGGTGAATGGAGGAGCCCAGGGGAACCCAGTGTGGAACGCCTCAGACACTGTGACTGAAGGCTGGGTGAAGGCTGAACTGGCCATTTCAACATTCTGGCCCAACTCCTATCAGGTAACACACCACATCACAGCCATAATGTCTCGTACTGCAGGTGTGGCTGAGACCTGCTATGACATAAACAGTCAGGATAATGGATCCAGTCTCATAACTTGAAAGATCACCCAACTGGTGTCCTATATTCATGTAGCCCTTCATCACGTAGCACCGTTGTGAAGATTCTTGTGAGGCAACACTTCCTGCTGCGCTACTTCATGGAGGAGGCAGCAGAGCAAAGGTGTTTAACATAATGACTGCGCTGTGTTCTGCAAATGATAGTGCCCTTGTGTCACAAACACACGGATCTGAAGCACAGTGGTAATCAAAGTGAAGAAAAGGTGTGTGTGTGTGTGTGTTTCCTGGTCTTTAATGAGGAGTCACCTTCAGCAGACAGATTCAATCGTCCCGTGGCTTTTTTTCATGCAGGCCAACTTGGACCTTGTTTGTGATAAAGTGGTTCACACACATACACACACACACACTTACACACACGACTGTGTTACATAGTTTTGTTTATCTTTATCAACAAATACACCAAACAAATGTCTCTGACTCCAGTAAAGCTGACGTGTCCGTCAGTAAGGCTTTAGTTTGGAGGAAGTAAGAAGTGTCCTCCCTCAAGTTTTTAGTATTCACACTGAGTCAAGAAGCTCATTCTGCTGAAGATCCAGACATCAGCACAGAGGTGTGTCTCTGTGTGTGTGTGTGCCAGTGTTGTTCTGCATGGGTCAGAAACCCACAGCCCCCTGACAGCCCTGCCAACTGTCTGTCTCTCTAACAATATTTGTAAGGAAAATGTAAAAGAGAAAAGAGGAGTGATCACAGTGGAAACTCCAGGTCCATCACAACAGAGAAACAGAGAAGTGAAAACTGAAAAGAAAAGAAAAAGACGACTAGATGTGGAAAGATTTTATTAATTTGTTTCGCTTTTGTTTTTCCTCCTTTCCTTATGATTTTACCTACCTACCTATTTTACCTTCCCTCGTTCCATCCCTCCTTCCTTGTCTTCCCTCCAACCTTTCGACTTTACTTCACTCTTTCTCTTTACCATCCTTCCTTCTTTACTATCTTCCTCATGACGTGTTCTTTCCCTCCTTCCTTCCATCTTTCATACCCTCCTACCTTCCCTCCTTTCTTACCTCTCTCCCTCCCACTGTTCCCCCTCTGTAGGTCATATTTGAGGCGGTGTCAGTCCAGGGTCACCCAGGGTTCATTGCCATTGACGACATACGAGTTCTGGCTCACCCTTGCCGTAAGTGACTCCTCCACGTATGTAAATATGTACGTCTGATAATACCTGACCTTGTAATACAGCACCCCTGCTGTGCATCATCTGTTACCACACCTCCCTCAGACATAAACACAGGTGAAACTGTGTTCACATGACAGATTAGGTGAGGGTAGGAGAGAGGACGGAGACCCAGACTCAGGGTCTTCATCACTCACACCTGACAAAACACTTTTCACAGTAGTATGATCTGTGTATCAGAGGCAGCGACGACTACATCTATTAATGGACTTGGAAACAAGACATTTAAGTTGTTTTAATAATAATCCTACGCAGCTTTTTATTAGATAAGGATGGGAAGATTTGAGTTAGTTTTTAAGTATAAATGCAATTTTAAATGATTTACGTCATTTTTGTACTTAAAAAAAAAAAAAAAACATCTATATCTGTCCCTTATCAGTCTGTCAGTGTGTTCACATTTGAATTGATCTGCTCTCCAGGTCAGTTCGATTCAGTTCTGCTCACTTTTCCACCTCGTATCCACTGCAGGGTTGGTTGCAACACATTTTCAAACTTATTTTTCTACATCTCCTTAAACCCAAAGGTGGTTTTAGAGAGATAAAAATGTTTGAAGCGACGAGGACAAAGAAGCGACACAACAAATGGAAAAGGTTGGCGACCAGACAACCTTCGCATCTACGTCCTTGTCATGTGCAATCACTTGGATTAGTGTCAGTGCAAATGATCATTGTTAGATGATTGATGTTGGCTTATCTCTGTCTGCAGATGCACAGAAATGAAATTAACCAGTTACAGGTTTTAGCTTCAATGCCAGGACAAAGTCAGCCATCATCTGACCAACTGTCCGTCCCACCGTCCAGTCAATACCCCAGCCTCAGTCTGAGGGCAAACACAGGAATAACAGGGAAAAAGAAAGAATCGCTTTCAATTATTTGTCCAGGTTTAGCTAACTGTGATGGATAAACTCTGTCTGCCTGAATTCTCTTCTCCTCACCATCTCAGTATCATTTCAGTATCATTTTTACTCTGTGTGTTTCAGGTAAAGCCCCTCACTTCCTGCGTCTGCAGAACGTGGAGGTCAACGTGGGTCAGAACGCCACCTTTCAGTGCACTGCTGGAGGGAAATGGTCACAGCATGATAAACTCTGGCTCCAGGTAAGTGCAGCTGTATTAATATTAGCAACACTTGTAAACAGAAGTGGAACAAATGCAGGTCAGGATGCTGCGAGGAACGTGATGCAGAAAAAGGAATGGACAGCCATGTTCTCACCTTAACTTCTATAAAAGCTGCTGCAGTTCTGTTACAAATAAATACAATGAATATAAATATCATGTATTAATGTCTCATTCAAAGATGAGAATGTCTTCATTGAATACAAATCAGCGTTGCCAATCCCCCAATCATTCCTACGCAGCTCTGGTTCATGATTGATTAAAAGACCTTGTTGGTGCCGTGCACCAATGACTCCATCTGTGAACATGAGCCTAATGCGTTGGCGCTCATATCCTCACTCTAATTTACATTCGTGTGCAGTGGCAGGCTGGAATGTTTCCACTGCACCCAAGTGTGTTCCACCCACATCTTTGCGGTGTATGGAAAATGACATTTGCAGTGGAGAGCAGTGACCACACGCCCCACTCCCCGACCCCGCACCCGCCCCTTTACCCCTAGAGGTCTGTGGGGGGAAAACATATTTCAACAAATTGGCAGATGCAGCAATCATTTGCAAAGCTGAAAGTGGCAGCAAGCGTTGTAATCAAGTCTCTGCTAATCGATTCCATATTCAGTCCCCAGTGATGATGTGTCTCCCTCCAAGTTTGAGTCGAATCCAAGTTCATTTCCAATATGTGCAATGTTGTGACTGCACTGTTTTTAAGCTTGGTTAAACCACAATTTTTTTTTACAAATTTAGTAAATTTAGCAATTTAAACAAAATATTATCATGAATGTCATTCAGTTAAATAGTAAAACATAATATGGTATTTATCAGTTCTTTTAATACAAGCTTCTGAAGTTCAAGGGTTCCAGTCCTGGCAGCATTACTGCCACCTACTGGGCTGGTGTGTGAGCATCATTATTAGCAGTGTATATTAAATGCATTTATTTAAACATATTTCTGTCTACAATTAGTCCCTGATCAATTTAATTTAAAAGTTTCCATCTTGTTACTCTTGCTATGCTACATCTACCTGTCAAGCGGAAATGACTGATTGTTTTCTTCCCATCATGCAGCAGTGGAACGGTAAAGACACTGCACTGATGGTCACCAGGGTCGTGAACCACCGTCGTTTTTCTGCAACTGTCAGCGTTGGAGACACTTCACAGCGCAGCACCAGCCGATATCGCTGTGTCATCCGTTCAGATGGAGGTTCGGGGGTGTCCAATTATGCCGATCTGATTGTTAAAGGTAAATTTGGATGTTTTTTTCTATGATATAAAAACAGTTTTAAGTGTTTAATAAACAGTAATTGTTCATAATTTGAAAACGTGTTTGTGTGTGGGCGGGGAGTGGGGGAGGAAGGGGGTGCAAGTGTGAATCTTGGGAGTTTGGCAGTTGCTTGTTAGTGCTGTGCATTTGTGGGAATGCTGGGGATGGAATACTGAGCAGATGTGAGTAGTGACCAGAACTCACAATGAGGCCTATTTGAATCTCTGTCTCCATCCGTCCGCCTCTTCCTAGTGTTTCTGTCTCGTCCATAACTTAAAGGAACAAAAAGGAGTTCCATGTTTAATTTAGAAAATCAAGCAGAGGCTTTCTTCATAGCAGAGGCTCTAATTTCTTACTGTCAGGTTTTTGATAAGTGGACAGAAGATGAGCACCACCTTAAATCAGCAGAAACACGTGTTGAAGTTGGTGGACTTTTACCAACCGTGGAGCGCATGGACTGTGTGTTAGGCCGATCTGTTAATACTGCAAACCCACATAGGTCTATTTTAAATTTTACAGGAGTTACATGAGCACAACAGAGAAATGTCAGGCTGTGATGTAACTCAGAATCACTGCCAAGAGCTGCTAAAGAAAATGTTGAACATTCGACTTATTTATACATTTTAACCTGAACATATAGGTCAACTGTAAGAGGCCGTGTCTTGATAACAGATAATAGTCATCTACAGTACCTGGTGTATTTAAAATGTGGCCTTTTGTTTATGTCAACCTGATGACTGGAAATGCTAAGTAGGTCTGACCAGACTAAAAACCACACCTGACATTTTTAACAGTCATATATTACTGTTATAGTATTAGGAAAACAATGTTAAATAAGCAAATGCAATAATGAACAAATAAAAACAACAGGAACTTAGCATATAGAGTAGGTTATAACTGTTTTGTAGTAACTGCTACTGTTAGCTATTGCTTCATACTTCATACTCCGTTAGTTTGGCTGTTTTGCAATAAAATAACTTATAAAATGTGTTGTTTGAATCTAGAATATTTCTTTTTCCTCTCTTGATGTTTTGGCTGAGCACAAATTTCAAATTGCAGCAACCTAGTTTGTCCTTCCACACGGTAAAGACATTCAGAGCGGCGAGGACACGAGGCACTAGCTCTGGTCAGCCGCATTTAGCTCAAAGGCTAATGGCTCTGGAGCTTTGTTGCATTGATTGGTCAATTTATAGACTTCACTTATATTTACAAAATGATAAAAATAAACACATTCTCGGCGAACAGGATATAGGACCCATTTTTATCCTGCACCTTGAATAGAACTCTTAAATGTAGCCTTGTTATATATGTACTGAAAATAAACATAGGAAATAAAACAGTAAGGAAACACAGTTTCATAAACCCTCATTGTTTATCGGGACAACATTAAGCCCAGCTGTGAAGGATGTCAGAGCACTAAGGATGCTGGGTAATGCTGCTGTAAAGTCTTAGATAGAATTACAGCATCACAGCTCTCTGTTGCCAGACATAATTTGATTTCTTTGTCTCACACTCTGAGTCTTACATCACTAATATCCACTGCTGCCTCTTTCCTTCAATTGAGCTTTTAGTGATGATTAGGGGCAATTTTTTGTCTCCATCAGAAAACTTTTACCTTTACCTTTACTAAATCACAGTCAACTGTTAATGTGCTTGTCCTGGTCTAAATCACAGTCAACTGTTAATGTGCTTCGCTGTAGCTAAGGTTTGGTACCAGTCACAGATTATGTTAAAAGGTTGGAATAGTTTACTGTGTTAGCACTGAGCCAGTAGTGACGCACTAGATCTGACACTGTCACATTGTACTTGAGATATATGTTTTGTATTCTAAAGACTTGGTTTTTTATAGTTGACCTGATGTCCTGCAGGTCAATATACATAATGTCAATCTATAAAAAAATTCTCAAATGTCTATAAAAGACGAGGTAAAGATGAGATGTAACCGTCTGCTCCGTCAGCCAACTAGTTTCCGAGCTATATTTGTTTTAACCCTTTACGTGGGAAAAACTGAAGACTTTCTCAATACATTAATGTGAGAGGACAACGTAGCCTCAGAGTAATTCCTTTTTGGCTTCAGTAATTCTCTTTTCATGTTAAGAAATTTTTATTTCTAATCATAAAAAAAACATCCTCCTCTGGTGCTGGGGGCTTTTAACTGGGATCTTTTTATAAGTGAATAAAGATTTTCACTGTACCAGAGAAATGCGTTAAACGTGCAGACCTCTGGCCTGAACTATGTTTTCAATGAATATTTGTGGTGAATTATGCTCTTAATCCTATTTGCTATGAAAGGAGTCGGACTCTGGAGGGAGGGTGAAGTTGCCGTGTGTGGTCATGTGCACAGTTTTGATTAGACCGTAGTCGGGGGATTGAAATTGTCATTACCATCTGTTGGCGGAGCAGAGTGTGCGCGCTCCTGAGGAATGTGTCCAAACGTGTGTCTCTTACTCTGCTGAGTGTGTCTCTGGGAGTTTTTCTTTCGCTTCCTATTTGTGCATGCGTGTGTGTGAAAAGCTCAGGTGCTGGCAGCCAAGCGTGGCGGTGCCAGAGGAGCAGCCCATGCCAACACAGTGAACAGGAGAGAGTTGCAGTTTGACACACATGCGTCCGCCTTACCCCTCTTCCCCTTCCCTCCCCCGTTTTGTGCTGGGAGATGAGGGAGTTATTTTAGTTGTGTATGTGTTACTGTCCTTGCTCTGTACACTTGTTCTCCTGGGGGGGGGGGGCAAAGTAAAACTGGGGTTAATTAGTGTTCTGTTGAGTCAGGTGTGATCTCTGTTTCTCTGTGTGTGTGTGTCCCAAATTAGCCTCTGCTGGTCTTCTGACAGGACCCCACAGATGGTGTCTCTTCCTTGGTTGATTAAACAAATAAGTCAATAAATAAATAAGTAAACAAACCTGTCCTTTCACCACAGTTGGGAATGCAGTGTGGACATTGTGTGTGTGTTCATTTCTTAGTACTGTCCAACAGTGTTGTGTTGGTGTTGACACCATGGTAACGTTATGGAACCAAACTGTGGTTTCCATGAAAACCAGAAGACAAAAAACAAAACAAAAAAAATATTTAAAAATATAACACACACATATGAACTGTAACATATGTTCAGAACACGTGTTCAACCACACCACACATACTGTACTTCACAGCTCAAAACAACCACACGTATTGTTACGGAACTGTCCCTTAGCGACAGAAGTTATCCTCTGAAATATAATAACAATTATTTAAAAATGAATTTGACTATGATGTAGAAGGAAATGATCCTCACAAACCAGCTAGACAAGCTGTGTGTGTGTGTGTGTGTGTGTGTGTTTAAAGCAGGTAGGGAAACGCACCCGCATGACCAGTCTTCGTATGAGGTAATCAGGCTTGTAGCTGTCTACTAATATGTATATAAATATGTGATTCAATTTTTATGTGTGTGTGTGTGTGTGTGTGTGTGTGCCGTCTGCCAGACATAAAACTCAGCAGGGTGTAGCAGAGATCCAGGAGAGCCAGTGTCAGCCAGAGCCCTCTGGACATGATGTGTGTGTGTGTTAGTTTCTCAGTGAGTTCTCCAAGAATTCTGCTCCATCTCCCTAAGTCTCCCTGTGCAGCCATAAAGCTGATTGCCGTCCAAGAATAAGACCCAGTCGTGCAACTGCAGTGTACGAAGGCCTACACCACAGAGCACACGGGGTGTGTGCATGTGTATTTGCACGTGTGAATGCATGGCTGTGTGTGTCAGTGGCACCATTACCCAGGGGTCTAATCCCTGAAAAGGAGGTAAAAACAGGAAGGAACGTCTCAGGCCTGACTGACTGATCTGGGATCAGTTCAAACAGATTGAGCTGAGTTTCTGCAGGGACTTCAGTGTTATCAAGTTAACTTGCAGGAAGTTTGATGAAGAACAAATGAGGGGAGTGATGGATTAAGATTGAAATTTAAGACATGGAATTAAGACTAAGCAGCAGAGAAAAAGACCGTTCTTAGTCCTTGTGTGTTTTAAACTACAGGTTTGACCAGGTACCTGAGGGGTGTATAACAATGAGAGTCTGGAATCAAACCAACAACTGAATTCAAAGTTGAAATAAAAATCACAGTTTTTATTTGATGTTTATTCTGTAATGCAGCCAAGGGCAGGATTGGACGGTGCGGTGGACTGGATTTGGTCCCTTCATCTATTTCTGCCATATAATTATGGCACCATCTGTACGAGCGACTGCTATTTTCACTACTTAAAAGGATTTTCTTATGAGTTCATTAGAAATCAGATCCATATGAGTGGCAGTAAAGCTGGAGCCGACAGGTACAAACCCGTCGTCCGTCTCCATCCCTGCAGCCCAACCTCACTGGGTGTGTGTGTGTGTGTAGATAAGAGCCGCTAAACACTGTGAAGTCCTGGAAGACGTGTCCACTCTGTGTGTCCTGCTGTTAAACTGACAGTTTTTAGGCTGATTCTGCTTTATTTAACACTTTCACAGATTTTAGTGACACTAAGAAGATCAATGTTCCGTTTCATGTCCTTCTCTCGCTGCTGCGTTTCCATTTCCCCTCAAAGTCCACAGCTTTAATGGCCCAATTCTCGGGTTGAATTTTTGATCTGTCATCAGACAGTTAGAAGTTTACGCTCTTTCTCACTCTGTCCTTATTTAAAAAAAAAAAAAACTTTAGTCAAACTCAATTGATCCAAACAGAACTTTTGTGGCTCATAACACAAAAAATAAATAAATAAAAACAGAGAAACACATTAACCACACGGACGTCATGATCTGAGCTCAAGCCTAATGCTGTCGTTCCCAATTACAATGGACCAAAGTGGAACACAGTCACATAGGAGCAGTTTCTGTCAGATGTCAGATGAAAACCCCTGTCTGGACAAGTCCACAGACACACCCATATGCTCCTGTTGTTTGTTTACACTACATCTCCTGTGCAGAGAGAAGCCGTCCAGCAGGGGGACCCTTCCTGCAGACACCTGGAGATATAAACAATCCCATTGGCTTCACCAAGTGCAGAAAATGAGTCATGCTGCTGAATCACCTCATGACAACAACATCCGCACAAACAAACTATGCACTAGCAGCTGCACAGCATTGGTTTTTATGGCCAGCAACGTGTTAGCAAGGTTTACATCAGCAACTGTCCAAAGAAGTGTTGAAAAGAACTGTGATACAGATGAGCCACTGGCTGGGGCTCTGATGAACAAAGCCAACATGGAGAATGACTAATCTGATACTAGATATGTAGATATTAGGATATTTAGACTGAAATGGGATCATCGGGGGGGTCAACAGTACATCTAAAAGTAACCACTGGAAATGGAAATGGAAAACTGATTTCAAATATCAGAAGAGAGTTTATGTAAAATATGATCTTGGTTATTTAAATATAATAAAAAATAATGTAAAAAAATTAAATATAATAATAATAAAACTCCAATACTTTTATATACTACTTTATTTTCCAGCAAAACTTCAGAAAAATCTGTAATATGATGTAAGAAACATAGAGCACTGTCCCTACAGTCATTTTCAAAACAGCAAAAAAAAAGAAAAAATAAAGATATGGCTGCTGACCTCCTTGACAAAACAACCATCTGTGAAACATGTCACCAAACAGAAAATAATTCCACATCCTGCAGTTTCAGACGTCTGCTCCAATTAGTTGAATGGAGTTAACACCAAATGAGGCAAAAGAGAGAAAAGACATGAACTTTTATCAAAGAGGAGCTACAGTGACAAGGCTAGGACCATTGGTGGATATGGTTTTAAAGGGAAAATAGATTGAAGTCACTGCTAATATTTTCTTGTCTGACATGGTCATGTCCAGAGCCGGAGGTAAATATACCTGACGAGCCTCTAAGTCACATCATAAACTGACTCAAAATATACACTCCTTCATCCATCGTTCCCTGTCCATGGTGCTGATTCTCTGATGTTACAGTTACAGTTATGTGAGCTGTCCATGGTGCACAAACAGGGTTTGCTGCTGAATAGTGTTTTCACACAGTGATTCGTCAATAATGGTGTCAGTCACTGTTGGACTGTTGGACAGATTTATTAAAGGCTGAATTAGTCATTGTGTTAAAATTACAGACTTTAGAGGGAAAGGATAATAAATGGCTTCTGATAAAATATGAAGTGCTTTTATGCCTGGCCATCACTTTTTGAACAGCATGCTGTGGATGAGTCTTGACAAAGAAGCTGCCAGCAGCACGTCAAGAAACTGACGGGTTGGTGCTTCAGGTGGAGGCTTCATTCTGTTCACATGTACATCACAATGCAACCACTTAGCAGAATAGAATAAAGTCATCTATCTATCTATCTATGTATGTATCTATCTGTCTGTCTGTCTGTCTGTCTGTCTGTCTGTCTGTCTATCTGTCTGTCTGTCTGTCACAAAATTACATGTTTTTAATATTGCAGACAGAGAGGTGTACAGCACTGCAATGTTTTGGCGAATATATATATGAAAATTAAATAATGTAATTGTTTATTATCGTTGGTGTCTACATACTGAGGAAATCCATTTCCTAACCCACCGATCTATATTTCTACAGCTCCACCTACACCCATCGCTCCACCGGAGCTTCTGGCTGTGGGCGCCACCTATCTTTGGATTAAGCCCAACGCCAACAGCATCATCGGTGACGGGCCAATTATCCTGAAGGAAGTTGAATATCGGACCACTACTGGAAACTGGGCAGAAACCCACGTGGTCGACGCCCCCACCTACAAACTGTGGCATCTGGACCCAGATGTGGAGTACGAAATCAAGGTCCTGCTCTCCAGGCCTGGAGAGGGAGGAACTGGGCCTCCAGGACCGCCACTGGTCACCAGAACTAAATGTGCCGGTGAGTCAGTAGTCTTTTTCTGTTGGTTTATTTAGAGATTTCAAATTTTTTGATGATGTTTTTTTTACCTCATAAAAGAAGTGAAATTCAGTTAGAATTGAATCCATTATTCATTGTTTTGTGTTTCAGAGCTTGTGTCATTTGTGTGTGCATCAGATCATTAGATTACTGGTACATCACTTATAAAATCACAGATGTTAAATGAGTCTAAGGACCAGAAGACTGTGTTGGTGTAGAGGACGAGACGTTCAGGCTTTAGTCTGTGATGTCTTTTGTGATGTAAAGTGAGTCTCTCTCTCTCGCTCTCTGTTATTATTATCGCCAGTCATGGCGATAATGCGGTAAAGCTTCTCCCTTCATCTTTTTCAAACCATCTTCCCCTCCATATTCTGTATTGTCTGTCCTTTTATTTCCTTTACTGCTGCTCAGCTACATTTCCTCAACAACTTTCTGCAGGAGGAACAGAGGAACAAAAGCCTTTCTTTCAGACGTTTCCTTTTTCCCTCAGAGAAGTAGAAACAGAAGGAGTGAGACAAAAACAGCGAGCGCTTTAGAAAAAGGAAAAGTGCACAAAATGCATTAAATGCTGAGTTACTGGGGTGAGGATTTTGTTTTAACTTTTAATAATCTATTTGACTTGATTGGAAATAAATAATAAATCAGTCAACAATATATTAGTAACACTTTTTAAATTACATTTTAAAAACCAAACAAAGAATAAAGAATCTTACTTAAAAAATAAAAAAGCTTTTTTTTGTGAATTTTAAGGCAAAACAATTAGCGCATCTGTTAGTTATGATGCAAAACTATCAATAAAAACAGACGACAAAGGCGGGAAAATCAGATCTTTTTCAATCAGGACATGAGTTAAACTCTTATACAATAGAGAGTTAGAGAACACGGTCCTCAGAAACCCTCTCTCTCTCTTCCTCCATCATTTTCTCATTTTATTGGTTTTGTCCCATTGGATGCTGCCGCTGCAGCGAGGCGGCTGTCGCTCAAAATAGGATCCAGGCCATTTCACCCAAAACCCTGGTGGTGGCTCGGAGGAATTTAACAATGATTTTAGCCGTCTAGTGTGGCCCATTTGTGAGAGCAGCGTTAACACTAGATGGAGAAGGGGAGCTGAAATGAACCGTTCTGCCTGAGGCACCCTGAGAGAGTGCAGCTTTGATAATGATTGATACCCAAAGCCCCCATCCACACACACACACACAAACTGGTTTTTGTCTTTTTCAGCACATAGACTCCGGCCTTCAGTATGTATATGTCTTATCTTAATCACTGACTTAATTTTAATCTCCACTACTACAACTACAACTTTTCGTCCAAAAAAAAAACCAAAAAAAAAAAAAAAAAACCTGTACACTCAGCAGGGACATTTGTTCCTCTGGGACCTGCAAAATATCTTAACAAAAACAAAATGTCCCCACCACAACAATAATTTCACAGTGTCCCCACACATATAGCTTTCCCAGTAAAACACACACATAAACGTTCTCCACCCCAGGATTGATTTCAGCAGATGTTTTGTTATTTCCCACATCATTTCTCTTGAACTATTGCCAATGCTAGCGTTTATGCTAGGTTGCCTCCAAAGTGCATGTCGTACCATCAGAACAAACTTCCTGGACTCTCAACCTACAGGTGCTGTCTTTGGGCTTATTGTAACTGTCCATGGTGCTGATTCGATAATGTGAATTGTGTTGAGTTGAGAACTTTTTGTTAACTTGATGCACTATATAATCTGATTAAATTATAAATTGAGTTTGGTCGCATGTGCCCCCCCCCCCCCCCCCGTGGGGCAACACAAACATTTTTTTTGTGACGGGGCGGCTGTTTGCATTCAAGGTCGTTCTCTTGTGCACGTTCTCTTCATGTGCCTATTGCAATTTTCTCAAATGCCCACAGACTGGGCCACTCAGATGTTGTATCTGGTCTACATGTGGCTCCCGGGCTGCTATTTGAATCAGCAGGGTCTAAGCAGTCCTAAAGGACAGGTGGCGCTACTCAGATGTGCCTTATTAAGGCGGACCAGGCGTTTGTGTCTATATTTCTTGACTTATTCCTCATTTTCAAAATGCTGCTTTTTTGCTTCTTTGATCCTGACACTCCCTAATAAAAATGTTAATATACAGGACGGCGGCTCCATAAATATGAGCTTTTAAGGTTCACCATTACTACCTTGACACGCAGCTGCATTCTCGTCTCACCCTCTTCACTCCCTCCCTTCTTCCGTTCCCCTTTTTTCCCTCCTTCTCATAAATTCATACTTTTATGTGAGAGATGATAATGTAAGTGTTGGCTAATATGTTACCCTATAAAGATGGACTTTTAATTCACCTGCCGTCCATAAATCCAGCGTAGGTACACTTCCTGTCCCTGCAGCGTTTCATTTATTTCCCTCTCACTTTTTTACAGCAGACAGATGCTAATGTGTCTGTTGGCTAATGCGCCGCTCTCTTCAAAGACGTAATTCACCTAAGGAATATATACGGTGTTTCTTCTGCCTCCTCTCATCATTTCTCACCCTTTTCTAATAAAGTCTTTATGTGAAGGATGGTAACATAAGTATTGGTTAATAGGTTTCTCATAAAGATGGATTTTGAATTCAGCAGCTGAGTTTTCTTTGAAACCACTGCAGTCAGGCCACTGTTGCACTACTTCATTTGATTTTTAAGTTTATTTTGAATATGAAAATGAAAGAAAAAAAAGAGGAATACATTGATTATTGACAAACATAGAATGCATATTCGAAAAGGAGTAGGAAGAAGTAAAACTTACATACGTACTACTGCATTTAAGACTAACATTATCATTGACTCAGAGCTTCGTTTGGACAATGAAGTAAAAAAGTCAAAACACACTGTTGTCTGCAGTAAATATTAAGACTATTTTTTTTTTAATTATTTTTAAATAGTTTTATAGTTTTTATAGCCACCATGCATAGTGAACCCATGCGTGGTGGCTTGGAGGCCACACTGGTAGGAGCCTTGCATGCTCGGTGAAAGGTTGCTGGTTTGAGTCCCCATGAAATTTACCACAGTTCTTTCTAAATATTCTTTCTAAATATGTCTTACACACACACACACACACATATATATATATATATATATTAATATGGACTTTTCATGCGTACATCACTGGATCAATAACAGCAGCTAGAGGTCAGCGTTTCTCACCTGTTTTCATTTGTGACTAATCCAAATGATGGAATTATTCATATGGAAAATGTATATGAGTTGAGTTGGTGTATTTTAGTCATTACAGTTGATCTTCAGAGTCTTGATCATTCTCAGAACCTTCCAGAGAACCCTAATGGGTTTTTGCGTCAGACAAGGACGTCCAAGTTCACAAAGTCAATAAAACCTGTAATTCTTGCCAGGCTGGAGGTCAAAGGGTCGGATGCCTAAATCCCTCAGACCTCAAAGGGGGCTGATAAATGTTGACGCCACTTTAGTTGAGACGGAGTTGAACGCCAGGAGGTTGATGCTGGAATTAAAGGCTCAACTGATAAAGCAGGTGCAGCAGCCACAGTCAAAAATGTGCAACCTCGCCAAAATACACAACCCTGTGCTGCTGGTGTCGTTAACTCAGAGAGAAAAACACATTCAAGACTTTTTAACAAAGTCTTGAATGTGTTTCAAGACAACAACAAATGATTGACTAAAAGATATTTTCACACATATTATCTGTGTTGTATCATATATATATATATATATATACATTTTATCAAACAATTTTCTAATCTCTGAAGGTTCTGGTTAACATTAAGGAAAAGGTGACATTTTGATGCTGCTCTGTATCAATACTTTCTGACTGACTCTACCATCAGAATGTTGTTTAAATTCAGTAATATCACATTTTATTTAGTGTTATAAATATCAATTTTCAGGTTGCAGCTCCATATTCAACCCTAATCACTGTCTGGTCAATGCTGGGTTTACTGATTACCTCTCACATGAAGACCACGTTCCTGTTGTAAAGTTTATAACATTTGAATTTTATTCTTAAACAGTGTCCTTTACTAGGGTCACTGGAGGGCTGGAGCCATTTGTCAGTGGGTGGGGGCGGGGCTTAACCCCACAGAAACAACCATTCACACCTGTGATTCCACCAATAATGTCAACTAAGAGTGAACTATTGACCTAATCTGCAGGTTTTTGGTCTGTGGTTAGAAACGCCAAACGATGGACAGGGAATCGAACCACCTGATCTTCTGAACACTACCCACTTCATCCTTGTTTAATTTTAATATCCCTGGTTCCATCATTCATTCATCAAATTAAGGCATTTTCCAAGACTTGTTTTCATGGAATCACTATCTATAATATCAATATAGTATAAAACTGACGTTTCTCTATTATTTCACAATAAAAAGCAAGGACTTTCTGCAAAACATCTACTGCGAGGATTGCCAGTCTGTGGCTGTGACTCTGTTGAAGACGTACACACAGTGTCGTCTCACTGCGGCGCCAACACAGTCCCATCAAACCTCACATTAGGTCATGGTGGTCAATAACCTCATCATGCTGTCATTAGCCCTCCCTAATCTGTGGGCCTAAGACAACAACAGTGTGTGTGTGATGTTCAAAGGTGTCCTTGTTGAATTCAAAGATAAAAAGACACTNNNNGCCCTGCTGAAGGTAATGCAGTATTTCAGATGGTGTATGAAACCTGGCTCATATAAATCAAAGATTATAAATCAGGCCGGTCGATATGTTTGTCCAGAGAGAGAGAGAGAGAGAGATGAGACTGCAGCACTTTTATTATCCAAACACTCAGGGGCGTGTGTGTGTGTGTGTGTGTGCGTGTGTGTGAGAGGGAGAGAGAGAGAGAGAGAGGGAGAGAGGGGGAGAGAAGGAAAGAGGGACGGGTAAAATAACCAAGTGAGGGACAGTGAGCGAGATAACGTTACAGTGTCGAGCACTCGTATCATGAGGAAAATCTTGCAGAAGTTGCTTACTCGTAACTTGGGTAGCTTGTGTCTCCAGGCCCCA